ATTTATCCATTCCGTAGTCATTCCATAGTTGGCGAGCCACGTTTTTATATCTAAAAATTTTGAATTTTCCTAACAATTTAATGTTGATATAGTCCTTGATTATAAATCAACGGCGATTGATATAAATGTATTAAAAAACCGCTGTTTTTCTCTCTGTAGTCAAATGCGCCATATATATTACATAGATCACTGATGCAAATGATCTCTTTCAATTCATGATGAATTTTTCTTTGCAACCATCATTAACAAGACTTGCAAGTATATCATTTTGTAGTTTTATGATATCAACAAGGGCAACAACTTCTAGCTTGATTCCGTTACATGAGAAAATTCCTCAATTTTCGAGACTATCCAAAACAAAAAAAATTTCTTTATCTTCATCGAAGGAACCTTTATACATTATTTCATAATCCCGTCTTTGTAGCTAAGCTACTGCTAAGTTATTTTCAATAAAATTTTTACAATCATCTGATTGTTGTTTTTTATGGTCGGTTTCCTGATCTACTTCAAACTCGTCTTTCTTCCAGAATAAAAACAAGAAAGTGAAGCAGAATTTAGTACAGCTGTTGATATATCATATATTATAAGCAAATGACAAGTTATTTTTAATCAAAAGTTAAAAAATTCAAAAAGGCGAAAACAATCTATAAAACGTTGAAAGCTTATATGTATCTTTTAAGAGCCTTCCTTTCTTTACATTATTTGGGAATCTTCCTTGTTGTAGTAGAAACATTTTTTTCAAACTTTCCATTTTACTTGTCCGCCAGCAATCATCAGTCTTTCTTTAATTCTTTGATACTATTCATAGTTTGTCTTCTCTTCTTCAATTTCTACATCTGCACTTTTTGTTTTTTCTTCGGGAGGGGTTTTGAGGCAGCACTCTATACATTCCGATTCCAATTTATTGAACTGTCCACATTCTCCACAAATTTATGACGTGTAAGCACATGTAAATTTACAGTATTGAGGCAGATTTGGATTACCTTTGTAAAAATAACATCCTTTGTAAATAATATTTACAAAGCTATCATAATTTTTGTTACAAGGGTTATATCCCTTGAAAAAACTAAATGAGACGTTGGGAACATTCCCCATACTTATACGGAAAAGCACATCTCTTTTCCATACAGAAGTGTTTCGACAATTTCAAGAATATGTTTCTCGTATATTCGCTATTTATGTTTGTTCACATTGGATAACAGGGCTCTACATTATAAAATTCGCTATGTTTTTTAAGTAAATTGAATTGTCAGTTTTTAACGGATATTTTAAATCATCCGCATACTGTATGGATATTTTAAAATTACGCGTATATTTTACAGGTAATTTTTAAATATTCAAAAATATTTAATACATTTAATACATATATTCAATAATAAATTTTGAATAGCTATCAATAAAATTTTCTCTATAAAAGTCAAGAAGTAGCCTCAAAAATCAATTTGTTCAGATTCATCGCACTAAAAGCATCAAAATGGCTAGACAAATTAATCAGGGAAGAAAATGTGGATGACGATAAAACAACAAACAAAGAACATCTCATATCAAACATAACGGATGAGCCTGAAACTGAAAAACCAGACTCGGATTAAGATTCGAGCCTCAGAATCATCAGTATGCATTTATCTTTTCTCTTTAACTGTTCTTGTGTTATTTTTTAACAGCTTCATTACTTTTTTATTTTAAATATTTTTATTAATAAATTTTTTAAAGATAACTGGAACACCTTATCGAGGCAATCAACCAATTGAAAGACAAAGAAACCAAAGGATAACGAGGTTTTCAAATATATTTGGAAATTCATTACTTGTGACAAAGACTGGAATATTTGCATTATTGCTTGTTTGATATCGAGTGCGATTATTTTATCAATTGTGGCTTTACTCGGAAGATGATTATAAAAGGAGTCAATAACAAAGTTTAATGAAATCAATTGATATGAAAGACAAATAAAAGACAAGCAGAATTGAATGTAAAAACAGAGTTATGATGGAGGGTTTTGTATAAGAATTTTCATCTTGTGCGAAATGACTTACTTATGGACAACAATACATTGTGCATTGTCCACAGATGACGATGCATATAAACTATCGATTGAAAAATTCTTGGATCTGGATTTGAACTTTTAATAAATGCACAATCGTGTCTCCTGTACAAATTGTTAGAAATTGTACCACACAAAAATGTATATGGTTGCAACATTTGTTGTCTGATTTATGTTTTACACAAGAAAGTGCTACTGTTATATTTGAAGACAACATAGGAGCAATACAGCTTGCAAAGAATGCAAAGTACCATGAACGTTCTAAACATATTGAGATACATGATTTGTTTTGCCGTGTGCGTGTCAATGCAGGAGATGTTGATATTCAATATTGCAGAACATCAGATATGTTAGCGGACATAATGACAAAAGCTGTACCATATCCATGTTTTAATCAAATGAATTTGAAACTTGGACTTGTTGACATTTCGAGCTAGCCGATATTGCTTAAGGGTGGCTGTTATTATTCAATAAGAAAAATTGAACAATTGATTGAGCAGTATCAGCTATCTTTAATGTTGTTGTTGTTGTTTTCATCTTTAGAATAATGTAGGGCCTTACCTGCGCATGGTTGTTTAAATTTTTTTAATATCCACGTTAATCGTAAGCATGAAGGAATATACATTACTTGTGTTGACTCTAAAAAGGTTTATAGATGGTTTTCTTTCTCGTCTGAAGTATCTTCAACACAAATTACAGGCAATCTTTTGGTGGTAGAAAACTTGAAAATGGCTTTGAAAAAGCAAACATTTAGTAAACTAAAGCTTTTCGCCTGACACTCTTCAGAGTTTAAATGATCAGAACATAGATCAAAAACTCTACGTTAGGAAATATATATACCCAGTTGTGGATCGAAATAGGCCAATCAGAAACACGAGCACATGACTGTATAGGTTGACAAATCAGTGCCGCTTGCCTATTGAGAATGTTACCAATGGAGTCCTAAGGTGAAAACGAACTCATTTTGCCTACACAGTAGCAGTTTTTCCATGCATAAGTAGATAGATTCCTGCTAGATGGAACGACGATCGGGCTTTGTGTCAATGGCATTCTATGTTTTCGTTTTATAGTCATCATATAGTGTCAAATTCATTTCTTAAAAATCTTAACAATGCTTCTGTTGACGATGCCATTGCAGCGCAAATCTTCCTCTACATTTTCTTTCCTTCGGGTCAATATATTTCACAGTGTCAAATTCGTTGATGTCAAAGGAATAAATGGGATATTATGGTTTTGGCCACTTAGCAGCACTAATAACTGGACGTTTTCGTTATACCGATTTCTGTAGACAGCAATTATTGTCAAGTTATGCAACATGACCTAAGCTGGGACCCAGGACCCCGGACCCAGGACCAGGACCCCGGACCCAGGACCAGGACCAGGACCAGGACCAGGTCCAGGACCAGGACCAGGACCAGGACCAGGACCAGGACCGAGGACAAGGACCGAGGACAAGGACCCAGGACTGAGGACCAGGACCCAGGACCAGGACCAGGACCCAGGACCCAGGACCCAGGACCAGGACCAGGACCAGGACCAGGACCAGGACCAGGACCAGGACCAGGACCGAGGACAAGGACCCAGGACTGAGGACCAGGACCCAGGACCAGGACCAGGACCAGGACCAGGACCAGGACCAGGACCAGGACCAGGACCAGGACCAGGACCAGGACCAGGACCAGGACCAGGACCGTATATGTTTTCGACGATGCACTCGCTGTTTCCTTTATGAGAATACTAAGTTATAACATTGCATACCATGAACAATTCTCCATAAAATCCAACAGTTTTACACATCGAACAAAAGACTTCACATCATTGTAAGGGGAAAATGAATCTGATTTTATTTCTGACTTTGTGTGAAAAACGAAAACTCGGGTAGCTCGGGAATATATAAATGTGCGATTAGACAAAAGCAACGCCTTGAAATGTGAAATACTCTTATTCAGGCCCGTCGGAACCGGGGAGGCTTGGGGGGGCTGGACCCCCAATAATTGTCAAACTGTGGTATGTTTCCTTTATAACAGTGTACTAAATGAGAAGGAAAACAATGGGCAGCCCCCCAAATATGAATTTCGCTCCGACGGCACTGTTATTGGCCATTCAAACCTGACGTGGTTGTTTTAACATAGATGGCTAGCACAGCAATTGCTATTCTTTAGTAGAATCGGGGTATATTTGATGCACACTGCAAACCTTATATCTTTAGTAAGCCCACATCATTAAAAAGCCACCAAAGCATAAGTAGTCTTAATATGTTTAAATAGCAAGACATTAGAACGTTTCTATGCTCTAGAAGCAGGAATGGTTGCACTCCCTTTGATATGTTTTTCATGAACCGCGGAGCATATTAAAGAGTGAGGGGGCTAAAACGTTTTTTTTGGGGTGGGGCGCTAAGCATGCTCATAATCAAGAACAAGGCGATTTTGCATGGTTTTAAGAACAGCCCCCTTCCGCGGTGCCATTATGTATATCATTTCAGATTGAACCATTGTGTCAAAAGTCCTGATCTGGATTTAAAAAAGGTTTACTATTCCATAAAATGTTTCTACTCTGAAAAATACCACTACATCTGTCTGAAAGCGGTCTCCTTTTAAATAAAAAGAAACTAATGCATCTGAAAAAGAGCAGAAAGGAAATTTCTTTGGAATCTTATCGTGACACCCATAAAGCGGTGTCCCGAGACAGTTCGTCTAATTTGGATCTTCTATTGAACATTTGCAGTACATAATGACTTGGCAAGGTTTCTGATGACCCAGACGCCAATGTGTGCCAAGAAAGGAGTGTCATTTTTAAAGTGACGGATAAGGAGACCAAGGACTCATAACCTAGGACTCAGAACCTAAGGCATGCCTAGGAACTAAAATGACCAAACAACCTGCGTCATGCAAAAAATAATCTCCCAGAGCAGAAAAGAGAAACAAAACACACAAGCAATTTTGTGGATGATAAAGACATGAGAAATCCGTAACAAAACATAACAGCACATACCATGAACAATTTCTCTATGAAATACAAAAGTTGCAAACATCAAACGGAATACTGCTTATCATAGCAAGGGGGGGGGAATACTTCCCATAAATAACCTGATTTTTTTTCTGGCCCTGTGTGAAAAACGAAAGCTCGGGTAGCTGGGTCAAAATGCAAAATAACGATTATACCAAAACAACGCCTTGAAACCAGGGCTGTAGAAGATGGGGGCTCAGGGGGGCTCATGCTCCTTCTACTCTTCAAAGGGGGCTGCGCCTCTTCCTTTTGATGGATCATTCTATAATATCTTGGCTAATTTCTGCCAGAATAAAATATTTGATTGAACCGATATTACTTTTTGACATAAGCATTCTTGCGTGACCTGAAAGTCCTCTTTATAACTGATAATTAAGATTTTTCTACTCAAGTTACAGGTAAACATTTGAAAATTTTCTAACCCTAGAAAAAGTGGAAAGGTAAAAAAATTGATAATAAGGAACGAAAACAACAAAACATGCAAACGATAACAATTCATAACACATCATTAACAAGCCATCAAAGCGTAAATAGTCTTCATATATTTAAAAAGTGTTTAAACATTAAAGATGTCAAAGACAGAAATGGTTTGACAGCAAAACGTTCCTGTGCTCTAGAAGCAGGAATGGCTGCACTTCCTTCGGTATATTTATCATTTCAGGCTGGAACATTGCCTCAAACGCGTTGATGCAAGCCTTGTTAAAATGAAAGTATACATTTGATGACAGTGCCGATTGTACTCTTTGTTGAGTTTGTGGATCTTTGTACCACCGTCTTGTTTTTGTGACAACAACCAGATCTCTGGGGGGATCGGATAGCCGTGATCAAAAAATCTACCTCGGCAGCCGTAGCAGCTTGCAACATTTCTGTGGCAGAATTTCAATAATGTTAGAACGTAGCCGGCTATCGGAGGCTCTGGAAATCCAGGTTGCTGATGTTGATCAAAAAGCAGTTCTTCGGAAGGTTCTCCGGAGGCAGGAGACAAGAAGGACAGGTCTAGAGTCTGTTTATATAATGGTGGCAAAGGCTAGTGTTGCTGCAGGGGTTGAGTAGCCACTTGAATTTGTTGCTGTTGTTGCTCTTTTTGACTGAGACGGTCTTGGCGCTCTATAAACTTCATAACTTTCTCTTTTGTTGAATTGGCAGGACCTTTCCTCTTCTGAGTGGCTTTTGTCTTCTTTTGCCCTGCTCGTTTCTCTTTACCTGCAAAATAGAGATAAATTGTCTGACCACTAAGAATCGAGCGCTTTGGCAGTAAGACAGTAAGTAAGTAATACTTTGGCAGACAGTAAAACTGTGTAGCAAAGAAGGAGTTGCTTAAATATTGTGTAGCAAAGAATTACTGCTTTTGTTAAATACAATTGAGCAACTTTCCTTGGAAAGTAGCACTGAGAGCACTGAAACATTATTTATATCTCCTTTCACTGGCTGAAAAGTTCAAGCAAAGAAGCTTCATTAACTTCCAAATCAAGTTCAAAGTTGAATAAAGGAGTGAGAAAATGGTTTAAAGAACATGCAGGAGAGATTGTCTATAGGAGAGATGTATAGGGGTCTATAAATCATCATCCTGCCTGCTCTTACCTGCATCAACCAGACGGCTAACGGAATCGGCCGGGCTGTTTTTGTTAAACTGCTGGACAAATTTGGCAAGGAAATTTTCTTTCTTTGCCACAGCAACAGCATGGCCACATATTCCAAAGCCCTTTCCCCTGAAGCAGAACTTGGATTGGCAGATTGCCTTATTCTTACTTTTGTCATATGTCACCAAGTGAGGCTGCGATGATTGCCGTTTGTTGGTAACCATATACAAATTACTTTCAGCTGGTCCATGGATAATCCTCCCACTTTCATTGAGAAGCTTGCATGCCTCTTTTTGGATTTCCTGCTGAATTGACGTTGGAAATCCTCTAAGTAAAAGGTTTGGCAGGGAAATACAAGGAGCAGAAGCAGATACGTCTTTTTGCCGTTCACTTTCTGTGGATTTGTATGGAGGAATAAAAGAATTGAACCTCTTTGTTAGGCTAAAAAAAATGTAAAAAATTACAAAAAGCACAGTTCAAAATCATAAAAATAGTTTAATAGCCATAATTTCGTTTGTCGTGAGTTAAGGATTGTTAAAGAAGTTTAAAATACTTTTACTCTAACTTTATCAATCTTACCACCAACGAAAATGTATTAATGCTTTCATTGAAATAAAGCAAAATAGGGGAATGTAAAAAAGTGAGTATGGCACGAAGAAATATCATACCAATCTCTTTGTGCTTGGTTCATTTGGTAGAACTTTACCTCCTCAACTTGCAGCTTGCTTGCAAACTCGCTACGGATCTTCCATGCGCCTTTGCTGATAATTGCAAGTTTTAGTCTTTCATCCTGGCTAATGACCTCCTTGTGAATAAGCCTAGCTGTCTCCTTAAGGGAAATAGCTCTTTTTTCTTTGCTATTCTTAAGAATCGAGTTAATGCACTCATTTGCATTTTGTGTGTATTCCAGCGGAGGAATTCCAAGGCTGCACGTTTCCCGTACTCCAGCCATCATTGATGACTTCATGAGCTCTTTTTTTTCAGTTATATACTTAAGAAACCTGGCACCAAAAGTTCCTCTCTCCATCCACTTGCGTTCGATTTCACACCATTCGTGCTCAAACTTTTCGGCTGTTGCAACATCCATATCTCCTCGATATAAGTCTTGCTATCCTTAGCACCTAACTGTGAAAGCTTCTTCTTTATATTATCTTTTTCATGAATCCAACAAAGCAAGTGGTTCGCATTTTGAAAGCAAGCACCCAGTGCTTTATAGACGTTACCTTCACCGTCCATTCTGAATGCCTTCAGTACAGCAAGGTTTGGATCGAGACGCACCATCGTAGCTGGTAGGCTGAAGTACGACTCGAATGTCTTATGTAAGTGAATAAGAATGGGACTAATCATCACAGGACATTTATCGGTTGCCTCCCTGTATATAAAAAGGGTTGCGGTATGTTGCCACTGTAACGTTGTAATTGCAGATGTTAAAAGTTGGGTCGACGCCCAAGACACTCCAACAATGGTCGGAGGCGATGAATCTGCGTATGTCGTTCAGTTGACGATTGTTTGCCAAAACAACACTCAACTCTGGAGCTGTTCTTACTTCTCGTACAAATGCATTTGGCTGTTCGCAGGTTTCTTTGCACAAATCTATTAGTTCTACTACCTCATCTCTCTTTTTATGGCCACCTCTTCTCTCACTATGTCGTATATCTGTGTCGTAGAATTGGGAAAATCCGAACTCGATCTTGCATTTTTAAAGCCACCAGCACTTTTACAAAGCCTATCGAAAATAGCTTTTCCCTGCAGTCCTTCTCTAGCCAATTACTTCATCTCAGCCCTAACAGAAAACTTCGTTTGCCGTACGTTTTTCTTGGAGCCCTTCCCAGCACGTTGAAAATCGAATTCTATCTGATGCTCACCATCGTTAAAGTAGAATTGGACATAAAAGAGTGGTAGGGTTTTGTCAGATTCCAAGTGCTTGACGCTTACAATCACCTTGTGGAAATCGCTGTTTGTTTTGTGAACATAAAGGTATCTTGTAGCAACGTGAGTGCTATTGCTCTTATAAGCAGTGAAGGCTTTGCCTTCTGAAAAATCAAAGTGAAATGATTTTGTCCCGGAGCGCTGCAATCCACAATTCATGTCTGCGCGAATGTCTCTCCAGTCATTTAATGAATTTGCATCAACAACGAATTCAACATTGTTTTTTACGTAGATGGGAGTGTTCGCGCAAATCAATTCAGATTTGACGCCAATGATTAGTAACTCGGCTACTTCTGCTGTTGAGCAAGGCTGACTTCTTCCTTTAGCATATATTGGTAAAGTAGGATCTTCATTGTAGAGCAAAATCACTGAAAGAGAAAATACAACAATAATTGGAAATTCCTTCACTAACATAGTTATTTATAAATGTATAAAGGCGTGTTACCAAGTGCATTTACTCCATACACCTCCGTTTTATCAATCCAAAAATCCTTGAAAATAGTTATGTGTGCTCGATCTCTCAATAATGCTTATCAAGGAGAACATAGTTTTGTTTACCAGCACCCTTTGAAGATGCTTAACTGGGATAGTCATTTAACGATTGACAAGCGGTAAATCAGTTAACTCAGCGTTTCTAAACATTGCCAACATTGAGCAGGAGCTGGGAGTTACACTATCATGCTTCATTAGAGATGTCGGGGAATTTGTTGAATTTGAGCGGAAAGCTAGTTATAACTTCTGAAAAGCCCGTACTAGATTGTCATCCATCACAATGCCATTTGATCTCCGTTTCAGCAAACGATCGATAATTCCCAACGAAAGGAAAGCACAAGCGTTGGTGCCGTCGTTCTGTGGTAGTAATGTTTGTGCCAACTCCTCTGTGTATCCCTGGACCATATTTATTACATTCGTGCCATTTTCGCTCAATGCAGAAGCTTGAGAGATCATTTGCATCTTCCGACTGCTTTATCAACTCTTTCACAGTACAACGCTGGTCTGGATCGTAGCAGAGGTTTTCACAGAACATCTTCCGTATGCGTTGGTAATGATCAGACTGCAATTCAAGGTAATTTGTCTGAGAAGGACAGAGTCTTCCTCTCGCGAAGACAAGTTTTTAGTACGTGTTCACTGTTAATGACTTCCTTGCCATCTTCATCCAGTAAACGCGCGATGTCATGTTGAAATGGGTAGCATTAATCAGGATTTATCACAACAAAAAATGTCATTATAACTGCCCAGACATCAATAGCTTTCAGCTGCCCAAGACTTGCCGAAGTTACCATGAACTCTTCTACTGATATTTCGGGAGCCATAAATGCGGGGCTACCCCTTGCCAAAAATTTAGTACGGCTATTTCCAACTAATGCACGGGTCTGCGTTACTCTTGATCGTGCTTCTCCCATTTCTGCCAGCTTGCAAACTCTAGGTTGACTCATGAAAACTTCATTGCTGCCATGTTTCAAGTCTGCATAGTGCAAATTGCTAACGAGCACGTTTGCCGGTTCAATGTCCCGGTGAACAATATCCCTACTATGCAAAAAGTCAACAGCAGTGAGCACATGCTTGACAATTTTATTGCAGATAGAGGAAAAATATACAAAGAGCTCCTCGCCATCTAAATAGCTCAAAAACTGGTCGAGAGAGTTCACACTGCTCTAAAAATTGAATGGTTTGAAGGAAAACTCACAATATTCTAGCATGACAGCCATTGGATCATCGGAAACACTAATCAATTTTACAATGTTCGCACAGTCTATTTGCTTCAACAGCGACGCTTCCTTTGCGAAAATGCTTTTATCTGTGCTTGGAGAGGCATCAGTTAGTCTCTTGACAGCAATTCGCTTTCCATCATATATGGCTTTTTCTGCAACAGCGAAGGAGCCTTTGCCTATGGTTAAAGGAGTTTTAAATGACAATATAGTATGATTTAACAGTGTGATCGAAGCAAGACTTTGAATATATAGAAAAGGACAGTACTGAGATATTTTATAACTATACTTTATATTCTATATATCAATAATATCTTTTAGCTTGTACTTTTTCTTTCGTTGCGGGAAACAGCATAAAGCATTTGGAGCCCTTTAAAGTCTGGCAAATCATTCATAATACATTTTGGTCGCATTTTTCCCGAATAATGTTTGGAAAATGCAAATTTTGTAGATTTTTTTCCCACTAGATATAATGTTGAAAGTTCATAGGCCCAAAAAATAGGAATTGATTATCAAACGATTGATAATGCGAGGATTCTTAGAAAAATATTGATGATTGATTTTTAGGAAAAATCTGGGAGGGAGGAGTCATACTAAAACTCTCGTGATAGACGCTGATGAAAGAAAAAAAGGGTGACGTTTTGTTCAGAGTACACATCAATAAGAATAACAAGAAGCTGTTGTATTGACTGAGATAATTTTACTTCCAGAACAGAAACGTGTACCTTCTTTGTCTCAAGTATTCCAAGTTCTACTTTTTTCTGAAAATACTGTTTGGTTAACCAAAAAGGTAGACAGCCATACTATCATGTTTACGTCAAAAGCAAGTAATGGCCTGTAGAAGAGCGTTTACATAAAGGCCCAGAGGCAACAGCCCTAATCTAAAAATAGAATCAAAGGATAATATTATTTCTGTGTTATTCCTTTATCGTGTAGAATTGTGTTTAAACCTATACCTTCATGCTCAATTTAAACTTTAGTTAACTAGGTATGGATGAAATCCAAAATTGAGGACTGGGGTCAAGTACCCCAGTCTAAAAGTAGCACTTGGGGGGGGGGCACTTTTCAGCTTGTGTCTGTTCAGCATCATTATCAACGTGTCAAATTGCCTCAGTGTACCCATTTCCATGCTAGTACCACAATTTGCACAATTCATGTCAAATACCGTGCTTAGAGCCTAGACTATGAAAGTAAAACCCAATTTCGAGAACTGGGTTCCAGTACCCCATTCTAAAAATAGCATCAAGGGGTAAGATTGTCAATTACATCTTATCGTATTACTTTTCAGTTTGTTGAAAGAATGGAGAAAGCTACATTTCATATTCATATGAAACAGAGTAATTATTTAGAGAAGAATGCCTAAATAAAGCCATGGGTACCAATTTCATATTCTAAAAATAGCATAAAGGGCCAATTTTTCATTTCCTTTTCTCTTAATATATTTTAATATATGATAATGCACCTAAATCTTTCCTTTCCCACTTTTTTCATAAATCAGTTATGACATATGGAGATTGGCCCTATTCGAGGACTGGGGACCAAGCACCCCAGTCTAAAAATAGCATTTGGGGGCATTTTTCAGCTTGGGTCTGTTCGGCATCGTCATCAGCGTGTGAAATTACCCCCAGTGTACCCATTTTCATGCTGGTACCACAATTTGCACAATTCATGTCAAAAACTGTGCTTAGAGCCTAGTTAAAACCCAATTTCGAGAACTGGGTTCCAGTACCCCATTCTAAAAATAGCATCAAGGGGTAAGATTGTCAATTACATCTTTTCGTATTACTTTTCAGTTTGTTAAAAGAATGGAGAAAGCTACATTTCATATTCATATAAAAGATAGTAATTATTTAGAGAAGAATGCCTAAATAGAGACATGGGTACCAATTTCATATTAGCATCAAGGGGTAAGATTGTCAATTACATCTTTTCGTATTACTTTTCAGTTTGTTAAAAGAATGGAGAAAGCTACATTTCATATTCATATAAAAGATAGTAATTATTTAGAGAAGAATGCCTAAATAGAGACATGGGTACCAATTTCATATTCTAAAAATAGCATAAAGGGGCAATTTTTCATTTCCTTTTGTCTTAATATATTTTAATATATGATAATGCACCTAAATCTTTCCTTTCCCACTTTTTTCATAAATCAGTAATGACATATGCTATAACTTGGTATTCTTATAAAGGAAACAGCGAGTGCATCGTCGAAAACATATACGGTCCTGGTCCTGGGTCCTGGTCCTCGCTCCTGGTCCTCGGTCCTCGGTCCTGGTCCTCGGTCCTGGTCCTCGGTCCTGGTCCTCGGTCCTGGTCCTCGGTCCTGGTCTTCGGTCCTGCCTTAAGGTCCTGGGTCCTTGTTTTCCGGTATGCCTTTTCTACAAGGCCTTGCCCTAGCATATTTGTTTAAGCACAGTGATGCAGCTCGAGTCACGCCATATTTTGCAGCACAAGTCACGCTATGTTGTATGCTTTTTCCCCTCCCATCTCTGTCCCCTGGTACTCGTTTCTCCTCCTGCCTATATTCCGTTACATACTTCCACCTGCCTTCTCCTGTCTCACTTCTTCTCACACAGTCATTCGAATGCGTGACAGGTGTATCAGTATGATTATCAGGGTAAAAAACTGAGGCAGTTTTTTCCCTGGAATCAAACACCGACCATAAAATTACGTCATTGCTCAGGCAAGACAAGGGCTGTTACACCAAAAGCCCAAAATGTTTTTCCTGAGATTGGGGTGTTGTTTATCATAACTAAGGGGCCCCCGCGATGGAATTAAAGAGAAAAATATCGATTAAAAAAAGGTCAAGGAGGTCCAGCATGCTTAGCCACTGTCGTAACTACAATCCCATAAACGTTGGAACAATACCTTGTGTTAAAATATTCAGCAGACATCCATGCTGTCTACACTTATTATGGGCTCCGACGCAGGCTGGAAACTAGGGGGAGGGCGCATGGGAAAATATATCACTCATAACAAAAGAATTTGAAAAGAGCACTACAATTTTGCATAAATGTGGAGGGGCCAGGACCCCCGCCTCCCCTTTGTCGGAGGCCCTGCTTATGCAACACTTGCCTTGTCTCCAGGGCTGTCACGAGACAAGCCTTTGTTGGGGGCGGGGGGGGGGAGTATAGACTACAAATTTACCTGATTAAAAAATTATTGCCTGAGATTCTTCAGTTGCTGTCACAAACCTCTGCAATACATTTTGCCAATCTAACTCTGCATATAATTCACAACTTTTATTTTGCTATGATAATAATGGACTTTCCTAAGTTTTGTCAAGTCTCTATATTAGGACGGGCAAAGGATACAGTTCCTACCCGAAGCGGCACCATGGTTGCCGCGGAAGGAGAAGAAGATTTTCGAATTTTGATGCTTCTAGTTCCCTGGAAAATGCACTCTTTAAAGCACATTTCACTAAAGCAATCCTCCTAATCCTATTGAAAATTATTTTCTTGCAAACAAATTGAAAGCAGATAAAAACAACTGGGCCAATTTCGTCGTGGTTTTGAAAAATACCATGTCATAGGTTGTCAGTTACTTCCAAAGCTAGATAACAAGCAGGGGCGTTGTGGCTAGACGGGACACCGGGAAATTTCCCGGTGGGCCCCTTTCAAATGAGTTTGTGAAACCCAAGACAAACAGGCCCCTGTGAAAGAGATGCTTGGAATATGAACAGGGCTTCTGAGAGGGGGAAAAGGAAGGGCAAACTGCCCCAGGGCCTCGGGGTCTTGGGGGCCTCTTAAAGCAAGGAATTCCAATTTTAGAAATGAATTTTAATGAAACGTAACAAAGTATGCCTAAAAATTGTAAAACTTTGTAAACAACTGCAAAAAATTTCTGAAATGTATTTCAAGCGAACTTAAAGGGCGTGTCCGAGAAAAAATTTCTGCTCGCTTCGCTCGTAGTTCACATAATTGCTTTGTCTCGTTTGTGTTTGTATCAAGTGTGCCTACAGTACTGGATTCGCAGTCTTAAAGAGTCTATGGCTAGAGAAAAGAGGACACACCACAACAAACATGGAAAATGAACATTTAAAAATGATAAAAACTGGAATCTTTTCAATGCATGGTGCATGGTTTCCAGGTACGTATATATCATTTTTGGCGACCTGTGAATTGTGATTGGAGATGTCGTACAAAAGAGTGAAACCCACTTAGGATCATTTTCTCCCGGCCTTTTCTAGGAGCCACAACGCCCCTGGTAAAAAGCAGCACTGGTTGTCAATCTAGATCCCTCTTTCCATCTTAGCATGCCTTTTGAATGTTAACAAAAATCTGGAGCTCATAGTGAATTGCAGTTGACGCTTCTACCGAGAAACTTTAGGGGAAATGGACACAAGGCACAATTTTACCTAAAGAGGGCCTGGATTTTTAGATTCAGTGCCAACAAGGAATCTTCAAATCTTCAAATCATTAGTTTGTTTACCTAAATTCATATCAAGGAATATCATATTTAACCAACGAAGCAACTACCTATGCTTGATTCTTTATTGCTTTCATGAAATGAAGGTCTCTAAAATACCTAAAGCGTTTCTTCCACTGAGTGGATGTTAGCTGAAACTTCCTATTGATAAACTATTGGGAGGGTGTGATATCCCACCTCCCCCCCCCCACCCCCCGGTCGCGACGCCGCTGCTTGTCTCCACTTATGCAACATTGGACACAAAAGAAACCCGAGAGCTGCCCTTCCTTCGGGCAATCATGCAGCTGAATTTTGAATTTCTAGCTTAAGACAGCAGCAATGAATCACATCACGGCATTAAAGGAATGTTCGCGTATTTCTATTCATAGGAACATTGGTACGTGCTTGATAAACCGCCTTGGGAATGTTGCATGTCGATCTGTGTCAAGCCAGGCTCCTATTAACGCTGACCCAAAATTAGCCGATAAGTTTCGCGACGCAAAACCTTTTTCGAGTATTCCTTACGCAGGCAGTAAGAGCTGGATCCCCAACGTTTTGGAAATATTTCTCACCAA